TTAAACTGACTGCGTAGCTTTGGTGATGCTATGGACCATGGTTCTCAGTTTTTAGCCAGTCCTGGGGAGGCCTGCTGCACTGACATCTGCCGTCTGTGAAATTTCTTACAAGGCACATTGCGTTTTTCACTATAGCTTTGCGGTTACCACTTACACTTGTGGTGTAAGTGTGCCCCTATCTGGGACAGCCACCTTAAGCTAACCTCCTTTCTTGCATTTTTACAATTCCTCTCAGGTTTAAGCCGTCTCCTTTGTCTGGTATGCAAATGTATACAATTAGAGCAGTTTTCCTAGAGGACACCTTCTATCGCTCATTTGTGCGTAAGATACACTTTCTATTTCAAAATGTTTTAAATGTACTATATATATTTTTGTGGTTTATGTCTCATTTTCTTTACCCACTAGCCTGTCGTCGAGAGGCTGTAGTTGAGCGCTTTATGTGCAACGCACAGAGTGCACTCATGCATTTTCGCTATAAATTTTAAATGGCTCATTCATGAATTAGTGATTTGCTGACTAATATTTTTATTTAAATTTTCAAATTGAGTGCCATACTTTTGTTTCGTTGCACTAGCAAATTGCTAAATCACTGGCAGTTCAGAGGTGGAGAATTTTAGTGGTCTACAAATGATGACTGCATTGCAGCTTTTTTTTTTATAACCCATGTCGAATGTTTTTCTGAGAATTTTTTCTGAATGTCTTATGAATGTGTCTGTGGGAGCTGCTGGAAGTGCGAGTCTAAACCAATTTTTAGCTATTTATGTAATTGGTTGAAATGCCGAAAAATTACTTCAGCTTAATGGAGATCATAAATCAGGATACGGTTTATTTAATAGGACATTTTTTATTGCTTGATGATTTAAAAATTTTTAGCGCTCATAGAATTAAACAATGAATCTTTTTTCGCTTCTTCCAGTAAATTCACCGCCTCGCATCATCAAACAACCGCCAACAGATGAGCTGCTTTTCAAAGTCGCAGTACAAAATAAGGAAAGTGATAAACCATTCATCATCGAATGTGAAGCTGAAGGAAAACCAGATCCAAGGTAGGCGCATAAATCATAACATCCCTCAAGCTAATTTTATTTTACTTCAACTACTTTTCTTGGCGCCCTGATAATTTTAAAACAAATATTTTCCGTGGCTTTTAAGTGAAACAATTAAAACTACTTAAACGAATTTCCGCATAACTTACAAATTGGCACAACCGGTGGCGTTAGGTCAGTGGTAGCACACCGCTGCTGATGGTCGTGCAGTGGTTGCGCTGAAAAAGCGGAGGAATGCCAGGGTATGGCAGCGCCAGCAAATGCCAAATTAAATTGCAATTAACGCAGCAGGAATTCGGACGCTCTCATTTTTTTACGCGCGAGAACGGAATGAAATAAAAATCTGAAAAATTTAATTGAGAATCTTTAAGGTGAAAGTAATTTCGCGCAGCTAAACATTTTTTGTTTTCACAAAAGCGGATTCACTGAAAATCGAAATTTCACGCTTCTTCGTTTGAATGATTTTTTTCTTTTACTTTCCCCTTTTTTTATTTGCTCTAATTTTTTGTTTTATTTTTAATACATATTTTTTTTTATTTACGAGCACTTTCCTGCTGTGGAATGTGTGTTGAAGTAAAAATAAAGCATTGATTTAGTAACAATGCTCGGCATAGAAAATTTGTTGTTATAGCGACGCGTTCTAATTTTAGTTTCGTTGAAAGCGAATGTTTTTTTTTTGCTTTAGTAGAGGGCGAAAAGAGCCTACGAAAATACGGAAAACTCGCATAAAAATATACCAGCGAGACGGAGACTATTATGTAGCTATTCTTTAGAGTTTTTAGCTAGAAATGTTTTAGTTACTCAAATATTTTTTATTTTGCTTATTTTTATGAACCTGTCTGCCAAACATGTAAAGTAAAAGAAGAATTTTTGCCTAAAAAAAAAAGTATTTGTTAAAACAGCTGGAAAAGAATATTTGAGTGCTACAGCTGGAAGAGCTTAGAATGGACGAAATTCGATAATAAATTTAATATTTTTCTAAAAATAAATAATTATTGACTGGTAAAACATATTTTGCTGAAAGAAATTAGCAATTAATAAGAATTTAAAACATGTTCCATGCGAAGACGAAACATTTTGAATTCATGATTTTAAATTTTTTAATTCGATTTTCAAAATATACAGTGCTGGAAAAGTAAATAGGGACACGGCATTTCAACAAAGTTTATCTTTTGTTTATTTAATATTTATTATTATTTTTTTTTATAAAAGTAGATATAGTTCATTATCTAGTAAAAACATATATAAACATATTTCAAACTGTGTAAACAAATTATAAAAATTCTGCAAATTGTATCGGTATTTGAATCGGCAGCTGAGAACGGGCGTTTCTGAACCAAATTCTGCAATGGGGCGTTCTTCAAGCAAACTCTGAGATAAGGCATTTTTAAATCAAATTCTGAAGTAGGGCGTTCTTGAAAAGTTTTCTGAGATAGGGCGTTTTCGCATCGGCTGCCGAGATAGGTCGATCTTCCACTCAGCCGTCGATATGGGAAAAAGTGCAAAAATCCGCTGGAAAAAAATTATTTAAAATCAACGCTATTTTTTAGATATTTAAGTAATGTTGTGACACTCCCTGAGTCATGTATTAGAACATCAACATCTGTTGATTCAAGCGGCACAGCTGTGGTATACATTGAAATCCGAATTTACATTGCATTGTCTGAGGTTTGTACGAACACCTGTAACAATTCTTAAGTCGTGACTGGAAAAGTAAATTAGGAGTTTCTCTTTTTTGATATTTCCGGTACAAAGACTTTGGCTTGTTTCTTACCTTCCTTATTTGTCTAGCAGCTAGATATAAGAATTTCGTCCGACGAGCTCCATGACTATGACCGATGAAGAGTCTAGGGCCTCTGAAACATTCTGCAACTCATAATTCCACTGTGTCCCGGTAACCAAATGAGTCAAACCCCCCGCGTATTAAGAGCTAAAGATAGTCCCACACCAGCCTTGAGATGACTTCGTGTGCTCTCAGCGCCAGAAGCACCGACCTTTAGATAGATAGATATTAATGTGAGGTGAGCAGCGCGACTTGGTGATCTATTGTGCCCTCTTCTCTTCACGACACTTCATCTAAGCCCAGGTCCCTCAGAAACTTCAATAGCGCCTTCGGAGCCTTCGATGTTGTTTTCTGAGTTGGCCTGCAAGAATTTGTAAAACCCTTTACCAACATGCTATTAAAAGGGAATGTCTAAAAAGAGGGCACCTTGTATTTTCCCGTGAGAAATATCTTTTAGGGTTTCGGGGTCGTTCCAAGCTCGTACATGAAATACACTTGATACTTGCAGAATCATTTGAATACAAATGCGGGCGAAAATCAAGAGCCTTGCGCTACAGAATGCTAGACAATAGCCTCCAGAGTTCAGTATGACCAGCGCCCAGCTTCTTGGATAGCTTGATGAGTATCTCTAATGCTGCCACTAGGCTCGTGTTTTTTCTTCGAGCGAAAAAAGTCGCCGGGAAGATATATCAAACGGCTGTTTTTCTCCTCAACAAAAACCCGATACTTATGTACATATGTATGTATTGGTATTTGTTTCTTGTATTTTTAGTTAATATTCGATACCAAAACATTATTTTATTATAATTTATGAATTTTCCAAAGATGAGTCCACATAATTAGCTTAAACAGAGACATAAAAATTAAATATGATGTGCAGACAAGCGAATTCTCTACTATGTTTACAGTTCAATATTCACATAGTTTATTGTAAAAATCTTCAAGGAAATCGAAATGAGGTCATGTTAGTGCTTATAATATTATGATTTACTACTTCGTATTGCTTGTGTGCGTTTTGTTCTTGTTTTGCTAGTTCGCTTCAAGTTTATTTGATGATGATTTTTTAAATCAATTTTATATTGAAGTCTTAGTCCCCATATTTATAATAATATGCTATACATTCTTTCAACTTTTCTGTGAGATTCTGTAAGATACCATGTTTTTTCTCAAAATAAAAAAAAGGTTGAAAAACGAAAAAGCAAATATCCAAAGCTGTAAAATTCAGAGCATGATAAAAACATAGTAAGGTAGAACCGTTCTCTCAATTTGTCGGCCATAATTTTTTTTTTTGAAGTTTGCCAACATTTCAAAATCATATAAAAGTGAAAATAAAAAATTGAAATTGTTCGAAATTGTTGTTGCTTGAGATTGAAAATGAAAATGTGTGTGTGAGTTTGTGAGTAAATTTAAAAATTAAATTGTTTGGAAACGTCAAGAATTTTAAAAGTGACTCTCAGCGGTTCTACCTTACTATATTTGTATCTATATTTTTTCATAGACCGCACTGAATATGAATTTTATTATAAAACAATGTCAGGCAACTTTTGACTGTTGTTATTTGAAGCAGGAAACAATGAGCTTTTTAAGGAAAAAATAAAAGGCAAATATTGGCTAGTGTTTTTTTTTAAGCAGAAAATAACCTGTAATTTTGACTTTAATTTTTTAGGCATTTATAAAAAGTAAAAGTTTCGAAAAATCTCCAAACATACCCAAAAAAAAAAACCTTATTTCGCCAAATCACAAAAAAAAAAAATCCTGAAAAGGTCCGAAAAATCTCAAAACAGAAGCGTGGGGTATATTCAAAACAGTCAAGGTATCGAAAGAGCCAAAGAACTAAAGCACGAAATATCCAGAAAGGATCATGAAAAATTCCGGAAAAATGTGAAAAACTTCCGAAGGATCATGAATAATCGCTGAAATATGCTCAGAAGCTCCAAAAATTACAAATAAAAGGAGTACTCAAAAAGCTCCGAGAGAATTGTGAACCACCACCAAGAGATCCTAATAATATCTTTAACAAAAGTACAAAAAATAAATAACCAACCTTAAGAAAATAATAGAGGACATCAGACCACTCTCAAGATGTCCCCAAGAAAATATTTATAACTACTCACAGCGCGATCGCCATCAATTTCATGCAGTTCCCATGCATGCACCTCTTTCGTCATTTAAAAACCACTTTAGCCCCATTAATATATTTCTCCGCTTATCTGTGTCACATTAAAAAATTATTAATAGACACTCACATTCGCCATTTCTGTCACATTTACTTGAATACTTACTACACAAGTGCGTACGTTTTGCATTTGACCGAAAACCCAACGATACATCTTAAATTTCAAATTCACGGTCATAAAAATTGCATTACATTAATATTTGTACAGTGAGTGTCTGGCATAATTTGTTGCAGACACACCACAAACAACAACACCCAGCGCCCAGGCAGCCAGCTACCAAAACTCACATGACACCGTGTGGGATAGAAGGAGCTATCTCCCTGTGCTCTGTGCTCCGCTTGTGTGTGTGTGGGGATACAAGGTGCGCGCAAATTTCGATTAATCGCCACCGACATGTTGCATACTGCTGATGCGGCTGCTGTTGCTGTTGCTGATGCTGATGATGTGCGCCATCAAGTTGTTGGCAGTGGTGGCAACAAAGCAACAACGCCAACGTGGCTACTTGAAAGTGCAATGGCAGCAACAAAACCAACAACAACAACGCCAGCTACTAACAAGTGTGTTGTATGGATGGCGCTGCATGAGAAATCAGATTTGTTCAAGTGTTGCTGTTACTCGTTGCTCCTACTTTCATACAAACCTACATTTTGCTTTGGTAATTGTGTTTGTTGTACTTGCAGTTGCTTGTTGTTGTTGCTGATTATTATTATTTTATTGCACTTGTGATTAAAGTCAAGTGGCGGCAGCAACAACAGCAGTAGTAGCAGAAAAATCAGCAGTAAAAGCAACATCATCAGACCACTGCCACAGCCAGCCGGCAGCCGGTGAAGTGTGTAAATACAGCCGATTTGTTAGCTACGATACTTGCTTACATACTTATGTGTACTAGCGTTGCCAAATGTGTCCCGTATTTTGCATTCAATTTGAAATGTTTCGCCGAGACAAGATTTTTCCCGAATTTTCCACAATTTCATTAATTTCATTTCAACCTGCAAATTTCTACTCCACATGGTCATGCTTTAACGCGGCTTTGCGAGTTG